GATGAACACATGCACGGTGGTAATCCACAAGTTATCATGTTCGGAACACTGGTCAGACACTTTAGTTGGTTAGGATTAAGCCGAATGATTGACTGCAGAAAATCAATACTGTAAATAACTTGCATGACTATGGATCTCACAATCAAAACATGTGAATCCTTTATCTAGCAACCTTAAAGTTTAATCTTGCAACTCTACTTTCCTGTTCCAAATCATGTCACTGGTATTTTTGCTCCCCTGACAAACTTTCGTGTGGAATTTAATAATATAATAAAAATAATCGCACAGTAACATACGTAATTCACAGTTAATTGTTCAGAAATGAATTTGTAGGTCAGTGTCCCAGGTCATTTCTTGGTAACTGAACTCGAAAGGTTGGAGTGTATATTTTGCCAGGCTGTTTATTACGTCTAGTCATTCTGGCCAGAGATGACGCTGTGTGTATTTGATAGTTTTAATGGGTGTGAAATCTTCCTGAATAAGTTAAAGTTCTTTCTGCCACCTGTTACGACATCTTGAGAAGTTTGTTGCCATCTCATGATACTTTGGGTAGGAAACTCCGTGACAAGAAACATGTGTTTCTACCAGCAATAGTATCCTACATAGTTAAGTTGCCGAATCTCCATTCTGTTGTTTGTCAAACCGTCATCTGTGCAAAATCCATTGTCAACCAACATCGAGATATTAAATCGTGCTATACAACTAACATCATCATATGGAACTGGGTCAACAAGTAAAGTATTATTTGACGTTGATATTTCTACATTTTTGAGTTTCGGTTACTGCCATAGTTATTTGCATTTAATTATTGTTTTAATCTTTGATCAATATAATTTGAAATTATCATGTATTAAATATATTGTTTTCCACATAAGTTTGCACGTTCTCTCCCTTAGTTCTACCCTGACATATACGCGTATCTATATCTTAGTACCAATATATTATTTATTTGATTTTGGCTGCCTTATTTCTGTATAATGATTGACGTCTCTACCTCGCTATAGTACCTCACAGTAAGATTTACCTTGTTACAGTCAGTAATTGAGAGGGAATAATAGGCTGGTTCGGTGATATTAAACCAATTTGAAATTTAATATTAGAAGGTCAGCAATTTTACAGGATATATTATTATTTTTATGCCATTTCGTTATTCAAACTAAAACCAAAGTAAAATATGTGTATCTAGTATAATTGTAAGTGTGTTATTTTGTTATTTAGATGTTTCGTAATTGTAGCAGATTGAAACGTTGGTATAAAATGTGTTTATACCCAATTTCTAACTCGCAATTTATTCATGATCCCAATCATAAACAAGACATTATGGTATACACATGATAATATAAATATCTCAAATGTATTTCCATGTGACACACCGACTACTAACAGCCAATATGTTGGTCACGGGGCAATTTGTTAATTGGCATACAATACATACATTCACTTATTGGATATTTTATAAGGATATACAACTTAAAGTCAGTTAAACTTTCTACATAGTCAAAATTTGTTGTATACGTTTCAAGATAAAATATTGCTATATTAATTTATTTGCAACCATATAAAAATATGAAACTGCCTGTCGGATGATATAGCACTGGTATATAAATTGAGTTGTACATTTTAAAAATAACATTAGATAAAATAAGGAACTTAAAGTTGTTACAAGTTGAATGTCAGTATTCTTTATTTTACGTTTTGTCATATTACTTCAAATCCTGCAAATAAGAGTGTGCATGTATGATAAAGCCATAAAGGTGATTGACAGGTCATACTTGTTTTAAACTCCAGAAGGTCAGTTGGAATCTTCCAAGTTAACATGTGATTTACATCACAAAGGATGTTTATGATCTATTGACTTGCCTACGTGAGACAGCTGCTTGCAAAAACACGTTCTGATTGGCTCATATGGAAACCCAGCTGATGTCCCTAATCTTGGCAATTTATGTCTATAAATGGGACAGAGTGAGGAGAGTTGGGTCCATCTTTTTAACTCAGTATCCTGAGTGTTGCTGTTGCAATAATGTGAGACAAGTGATACAGGCTTCGACCATAATTCTGTGAGACTTGTTTGAACGATCTCATGGTTTCACTCTAGAATAACAGCGTTCCTCTGAGTTATCACAAATGCACACCTCCCTAAGCAATCCTCTATTTTAGTGACCTTTTTCATTGTATTTTTCTATGCTTCATTTCTTGTAATTATTTTGAGAAGTATTAAAGCCAGGAGTTTAATTCGATATGTTGGTGTATGTGTATTTCATTTCCAGTAATGCTGTCTTGTCTACCCCATTCTAGCAGTGAAATAACCTACTGTCCAGTATGAGTTCTGTGGGTGCCTCTCTCAATTGCAATAAGAAGGCTTTACACTGTGACATTGAACAAATCTGACTTAAGTCCACTTATATTCACTAAATTTACAGAATTACAGGTATAGTCACAACATTAATGAAACTTATTATGGTCCACTGGAGGTGTCATATATTAAAGCTCATAGGCTAGCGGTTTCCAAGAAGTCAAAGATATCATTTGTTAACAGAAATTGATTTGAACATATCACTACAAACGTAACAAATCTAACATAGGTCAACCCAAAGTACCTACAAACCAAGTATCAAAGCAATTCACTTGGGAGATTTCAAGAAATCGGAAATGCAATTATGACATTCCCCTATGTGAACAGCTCCACTCGACAACAGAGCTAAAAAATATGGATGCCAGTCAGCCGTTTTGGTTCGAATAAAATTATAAACTACTGCTTATACAGTACTAGACATATGTGACGAATGAATGGATTTGGTGATGAAGATTCTGTAATATTATTATGAATGAACTTCATTAGAATATGGACTAATAAAACAAGTCATACTACATTTAGACTTATGTTAGAGATGTCTGCTTCACTATCAATGGCTTGAATTGTCCAATACTAGGAGAATATGGTATATGGTATAATACAAATGTCAATTGAATACCATAACTGCTAGAATGTTCTTTCTCACTCACAATTCTTACATTACATTCTCATACAAAAGGCTACTGTATTCAGTGTACATCGGTAACAATATAAGAATTTTTTTTATATACCAAAGTATATACATATTTCTCTGTAATGCATTTCACATTTCCAGCAAGGATGATAGCGTAATAATCTTCCAATGTGGTCATTGACTAATGGCTTGAATTGTTCAATGCTAGATTAACTAAGAAACAAACTTATGGCATATGGTGTAATACGAATGCCAATTGAATACCATAACATGCTAGAATGTTATTACTGACTCACAATTCTTACATATACATTTTCATACAAGATGTTACACTACTGTATTCAGTGTACATCGGTATCGGTAATAATATATAAGAGTTTAATTACTTACTAAAGTACATACATCTTTTTCTGTAATGCATCAGTGATACATGTTTGCATTTCCTGCAAGGATAATCGCGTAATAATCTTCCAATGTGGTCAGGTACTGCCTGCAGTTTATTTCCACATAATGATAACTCATATAAG